TGCGTCCAGAGCAGAATGAGGCTGGAAGGACAGGACCGAGGCTAGTGCCAAGGGACTTGGCTCATTGGAAAGTCCTGGTTGAGGCAGGGAGCAAACTCGTGGCCTTGTGTGTCTTTCTGGGCAGCCTTCTCCGCTGAGTAATGGCCCCAATCCTCCCGTGGCTTGCTGACTCGCTCTTCTAGGAGGCTGGGCGTTTATTAGGGAAGTGTATAAATTCCTCGGACTACCAGGGAGCCACTTAGGGTCTGAAAGAGTTTATGCACTTTCCAACTGCCCGATTCAGTAGCCGGGCAGCCGCACACAGTGGAGTGCATTGCAGGTTGTTTGGGAGTAATTGGTGACCACAAGTTGAAGAAATGGTTGGCAAACAGAAGGGCGATGCTTTCAAAGACCTTCTCAATTAAGTACTATGTTCTTTTTTTTTTTTGGAGACAGAGTCTCACTTTTGTTGCCCAGGCTAGAGTGAGTGCCGTGGCGTCAGCCTCGCTCACAGCAACCTCAACCTCCTGGGCTCAAGCGATCCTCCCCTGCCTCACGCACCCGAGTATCTGTGACTACAGGCATGCGCCACCATGCCCGTTTCTTTTTCCTATATATCATTTAGTTGGGCCAATTAATTCTTTCTATTGTACGTAAGATGGGGTCCGCTCTTTGCTCAGGCTGGTTGCCGAACTCCTGACCTCAGCGATTCCTCCTGCCTCAGCCTCCCCAGAGTGCCAGGATCGCAGGTGTGAGCCACCGCACCCGGCCCTCAGTTAAGTTATGTTTGTAGCATTAAATCGGTTCGGCCCTAAGGTATATCCATAAAGAAAACAACAGGGGGGCTCACTTGCAGATTGAATTCTTTTAATAATTTTATATTCTTTCTTTTAAAATTTTTTATCCCCAGCCCAGGCCATTTTCCCATTGTAACGGTATGAATCTTTTAAAACTAACTTTTTTTTTTGGAGACCAGAGTCTCAACTGTTTTGCCATCCGGGGGGGCCTAGATGCCGTGTGGGCCAGCCTCACTCAAGCACAGCGCCCAACTCCTGGGCTCGCCAGCAGATCCCACTCCTGCCTCAGCCCGAGAGCCGGCTACAGGCCATGCGCCACCATCCCAGCCTAGTTTTTTTTTATTGATATTTTTAGTGTCCAGCTAATTTCGTTCCATAATTTACTAGTGAAGACGGACGGTCCGCTTTGCTCAGCTGGTTTCGACTCCCTGACCAGGTGGTGGCATTTCCCAGCGATCGTTTCCCCGCCGCCTCGCCTCCCCAGAGTGCTAGGAGACAGACGCTGAGCCACCGGCGCCCGCCTAGACTTTTGGACCTTTAGTTTCTCAAGCTGTAAAATATTGAGAGGTCGGACTTAATAATCCCCAGTGCCATTTTAGCCCTTTAAAAAAGTGTGTTTGTGTATGTGTACAGTTGTGATTCAACATATCTTTTATCTGACTCTGTTTCCCAAAACTTATTTATGTTTTTTAGCAAAGCAAAATAAAATTCAGGAATGTACTCAGAAAAGAATTCATGTCAAGATATATTACTTTGATGGGGGGGAGAGGAAGGGCAATGGCAAGTTACGTAACCTTAACATTTGTACCCCCATGATACGCTGAAAAAAATAAATTAAAAAAAATATATATCATCATAGGAAATGGAAAAAACAAAAGATAAAAATATATTACTTTGTAAGTTTTGGTAATCGTGCCTTCACCTTAAGAGAATAGTGACGATTAAACTTAATAGGGAAAAAAAGTGATTTTTTTTTTTTTTTAAGGCCTTTTCCTCCAAAACTTCTTATGTGCTAGCAGAGTATATCAGTTAAGGGTCAAATCCATTAAAACTCTCCCAAGTGGAACAAGTGACCTGGATTACTTGTTTGCTTAAGTCAAACCGGAAAGTTCTTCCTCCTTTGAACTGAAATAATTCCAGGAAATGCAATAAAGGAGCCGGGGGTGGGAGCAGCACTGAGCAGGGACAGCTTTTTCTGGCCCAACCTGTCCCCTGCGGTCCCCACAGCTCCAAGCCCCTGGCAGTGCCTAGACAGTATCTGTGCTCAGTTGATGGTATTCAGGGTGTTAAATCCATTCACTTCTACACTCTGGTTTTCCTTCTGCAAACCGATTCCCCCCCCACCCCAATTTTCTAAGTTAGAGGTCTTCAGTATTCAAATACACCCCATTAAAAGTAGGAATTTTTTTTTTTAAAAAAAGTGAATGAAATAACTTTTTAAGGTTACATTTTTCATTCGCCATCAATCCGCACCACGTCAGATTGGAAAAGTTGAGTGACAGTGACTGTTCTGTAATTTATAATCGCCTTCTTCCTCCCTTCCCAAATCTCTTTCCAGGAAATGACCCATTCGTGGCCACCTCCTCTGACAGCAGTACACACGCCTGGCACAGCCGAGCCCTCCAAATTTCCTTTCCCCACGAAGGTAATTCGGGACAAGTATAGCAGGTCCCCCCCCCCGCCACCTTACTGGAAAGTCGCAGGTATTGCCGTGAGCCAGGCTGATGAAGTGTTACTTTGCAAAGCTGAAATCTCGGCCGGGCGCGGTGGCTCACGCCTGCCATCCTGGCACTCTGGGAGGCCGAGGCGGGAGGATCGCTCGAGGTCAGGAGTTCGAGGCCAGCCTGAGCAAGAGCGAGACCCCGTCTCTGCTAAAAATAGAATAAAATTAATTGGCCAACTAATATATATAGAAAAAATTAGGCGAGCGTGGTGGCGCATGCCTGTAGTCCCAGCTACTCGGGAGGAGGCTGAGGCAGGAGGATCGCTTGAGGCCAGGAGTTGGAGGTTGCTGTGAGCGAGGCTGACGCCACGGCACTGTAGCATAAGCAAGAGTGAGATGCTGTCTCTACTAAAAATAGAGAAATTAATTGGCCAACTTTTATTTAAAAAAAAAAGTTGAAATCTTTAGAGATTAGGTTAAAATTATAATTAATTTAGCTCCTATAGTGCTTCATGATGCGTTCAAACACTTTATTCTCCAACTTCTATAACAACATCTTAGATTTGTATAAGGCTTTACAGCTTATTAAAGCATTCAGGACTTCTCAGTACATTTTCTCAGGCGAGAGTCCTTAGTTTAGAGATGGGAAAACAGAGGGAGTACAGAGAAACGTCTGCTTCCCGGTTCAGAATTTAGGTGTGTACACATACATACATGCACATGCCTTACACGTCTCTCACGTCCTAGATTTTCTCAGAGTTTAGTGTGATTAGCTGCACTAATGCAGATTTAATATAGCAAGGAAATGAACTGCTGACTTGTGTGTTTTTTCATTATGGTATTTGCAAACATGTGTTAAAACATTGTCATTTTCCCTTTTTTGGGGGGGTCCATTATACTTTTGGAAACCTTTCAGAGTGTAGAAGTAGCACCTTCAGATCGTGTACTGTGTTCAGCCTGGAATGAATGCACATGCTTAATGTATATAGCAAAAAGAATTTTACTACTACTTCTAAGATAACTGTTTTCAAAAGAACATGTGTCTATTGAACCCACATTTCCATAAGTTAGCTATTTTATCTATTTCTAATCATAGTGTTTTTAAAAGGTGATTCATTGTTACTGGTTTTAAAGTAAAGTATTAAAGTCTAAAAAGTGTTTTTGCCTCAACACCAAAGGAAAAATAAACTCTAGGAAAGAACCAAAAGCAATGAAGCTTTTTGATGGTGTTTAAAAAAGATTAATCAATGTTTGCAACCTATGCATCAAAAAATGAGATTGATTGAATATAGAGACGGAAAGCTATAAGGGTCATGCAGAAAGGTGAATTATAGGATGTATGTGGTGGTATTGGTGGGTTATTTTCGTACTATTCCATTTTTCTAGTGTATTCGAAAGTTTTAGTAGACTATCTCAATATTAAACAGCCTACTGTCTTTGCTTAGATTTATAGATTATATGTTTAAACGTAGAGACTTTTCATTTTCTTATAGATTCTCAGGCACACACTTCTGCAACCCAAAAACCAAAGTAAAGTAAATGATCTGTCTATTCATGAAACAAAGGGTCTTTTTTTTTTTTTTCTGTTTCTCTAATATTCTCAACATTTCTTCTGTATTTCTCTTGCTCTCTCCTCTCTCTACTTAATTGTGGCCTCTCTTCTTGCCTGTCTCTATGAAAGCGAGGATCTCTCTGTTTTCTGTTTTTATTCTGCCCTTCTCTCTCTAGGGGCGCCGGTGGTCACGCCTCCCTCCCACCTCCACTCCTCACCTACCTTTTACACCAACATCTCACACATTCCCTCATCCCTCATCAAGCTGCTTCCAATAAACTTCATACAGCACGTAAAACATCCCATTCCGCAACATCAACCAGCTGACTAAACAGAATCCTAGCACTGCTCTGTGACTCAATACAGTGCGGACCAGCAGATCAAACCGCGGGACGGCATCCTTATGAAGTCAGATTCGGACCAGCGCTGACGCAACGAGCCGACAGACCCAAAACCCACCAACAAAAACGGCTCTGCTCTCCTAAAAATAGAAAGAAATTAATTGGCCAACTAAGAAAGTATTCAGAAAACAAAATAACAACACCGCTCCACTTGAAAAAGCCATAACAACGCAACCAACACTCCGTGACCGCCATAGCAGCTACTCGAGACTGGAGGCCAGGAAGATCGCTTGAGCCCAGGAGTTCAAGACCAGCTGAGCAGAGCTGACCCTCCCATTAAAAAGAAAACTCTCCTCACTGCTTTCAAATAAACTATCATACAGTAATTGTGTTATACACACTCAACTAAAAATAACCTAAACATATATAGAAAAAATTAGCGGCGCA